CCCTGCCCCTGCCCCTGGCCCTGCCCCTGGCCCTGCCCCTGCCCCTGCCCCTGGCCCTGCCCCTGGCCCTGGCCCTGGCCCTGGCCCTGCCCCTGGCCCTGTCCCTGGCCCTGGCCCTGCCCCTGCCCCTGCCGCTGGCCGGGTGGTGCAGGTGGCACAGGTGGCCAGGGAAGGCACAGGAGAGGGGACTGAGGAAGCGGGCATGGATCCAGGCCCGCCTCAGAGTGACTGTGGCCATCCCACAGGGGGGCGGGTCGGAGCCTTCCTGCTGGTGGAGACTCTTGCCTTCAATTTGTAAAAAGCACAATGTCTGTGAAGTGCAATAAACTGAGGTCTATCTGCACTTGTACTTCATAAAGTTTCTTTTATAACTTTTGACTAGAAATTAAAAAATGAATACAGACAATGTTAGAGATAAAGAGGGACATTTCATAAAGCTAAAGGGCTCAGTATGCCAGGGAGGTGTCGCAGCTATAAACATATATGTACCTAATATTAGAACGCCCAAAAATATGAAGCAAAACTGACAAAAATGAAGAGAAAATAGACAAACAATAATTGTTGGAGACCTAAATGCCCCACTTTCAATAATAGATAAAACAACTGAACAGAAAGTCAACAAAGAAATAAAATACTTGAAAAGCCCCATAAACCAACTAACAGAAACCTGTAGAACATTCTGCCTAACAAGAACGGAATATATGTTCTCAAGTGCACACAGATTCGGCCTCCAAGATCTGCCGTGTGCAAGGCCATAGGACAAATCTAAGTACATTTAAGAGGATACAAATAACACAAGGTATGTTCTTCGACCTCAATAGAATGAAATTAGGAATCAGTGGCAGGAAAAGAAATGAGAAATAAATATGTGGAAGTTAAACAATACACCGCTGTGTAACCAATGGGTTAAAGAAAAAATCAAAAGAAAAATCAGAAAGGACTTTGAGATGAATGAACGTGAGGCCACAACCTATCAAAATGTAGGGGATGCAGTTAAAGCTGTGGTTAAAGGGAAATTTATAGCTGTAAAGGACCATATCAACAATCTCACTCTCTACCTTGCAACCCTGGAGACAGAAAAGCATATTAAACCGAGAGCACACACAAGGAGGAAGGTAATAAAGATCAGAGCAGAAATTAACAAAATGGAAAATAGAAAAAAATAGAGAAAATCAATGAAACCAAAAGTTGTTTTTTTAAAACATGAACAAAATGGAAACTCTTTAGCTAGATCTATTGTGATATTATGGTATAATAAGAAATATATATATATTAGGTCTTCCTCCTTGGTTGCAGGCACAAAACTCCAAAAACTCCCGTAATTTCCGGAGTGAAAAGGAGAGGAAGAGCTTTTGTTGTTCATAATATGCCCCTGCCAGTCACTCCAAATTGATGGTAGTGAGGTGATGTTTGGAGGATGAGAGCTGGTTGCCAGAGGAAATCAGCCAGGTGATTAGAGAGTTGGAACTTCAGTCCCACCTCCTGACTTCCAGAGAGGGGAGAGGGTTGGAGATTTCATTAGTCACCCTGGCAGTGATCTAATCAATCATGCCTGTGGGGTGGAATCTCTATAAGACCCTAATAAAGGGCAGAGAGCTTCCAGGTTGGTGGGCACAGCTGCCTGCAGGGAGGGTGGTGAGCCTTAAACTCCATGTGGTAGGAACTCCTGCACTTGGGATCTTCCCAGACCTCACCCTATGTTCCTCATCTGGCTGGACATAAGCATCCTTTATAATATCCTTTATAATAAACCAGTCAATGTAAGGGAAGTGTTTTCCTGAGTTCTGTGAGCCATTAAAAAGCAAATTAATGACTCTGAGGAGGGTGTCGTGGGAACCCTGACTTGGACTCTAGTTGGACAGAAGTGTCCGTAACCTGGGGACCCACTCCATGCAACCATCATCTGAAGTGGGGGCAGTCTTGTGGGACAGAGCCCTTAACCTGTGGAGTCTGCACTAACTATGGGTAGTTAGTGTCAGAATGGAATTAAATTGTAGGACATCCAGTTGATATCTGCAGAGAATTGGAGAATTTCTTGATGTGGAAAACCCTACACATTTAGGCATTTAGTGTCAAAAATGTTGTGACCTATGAATAGAGAATTTGTAAATAGAGAAACAGTTTTCTCTTAATGACCAAAAAAATCACCAGAATCAGAAATGATAGAGGGGACCCTAAAGAAATTTAGAAAAGAAAAAAAGATTGTGAAGGAATACTATGAACAATTGTATGCCAATAATTAGACAATTTAGATAAAATGACGAATTCCTAGAAAGATAAAATTACAGTAAAACCTCAATATAACAGACTAATTTGGGCAAGAGGGGTGTCTGTTAAAGCCAAAAGTCTGTTATATAATAAAGCAGGTTTTCCAAATTGCGCTGCTATGAACATAGGGGTGCATATATTTTTTCTGATTAGTGGTTCAGGATTCTTACGATATATTCCTAGCAGTGGGATCACTGGGTCAAAAGGCAGCTCCATTTTTAATTTTTTCAGGAACCTCCACACTGTTTTGCACAGTGGCTGCCCCAGTCTGCATTCCCACCAGCAGTGCACTGGGGTCCCCTTTCCCCACACCCTCGCTAGCACTGTTGTTTGTTGATTTGCTGACGGTAACTACTCTGGCAGGTGTGAAGTGACACCTCATTGCTGTTTTAATTTGCATCTCTCTGATGATTAGTGACTTTGAGCATCTTTTCATATGTCTCTTGGCCATCCGTATGTCCTCTTTGGAGAAGTGTCTATTCAGGTCCTTTGCCCATTTTAAAAATTGGATTGTTTGTCTTTCTTTTGTTAAGTTGTATGAGTTCCTTATACATCTTGGATAGTAACCCCTTATTATTTACACCATGGAATACTATGCAGCTGTAAAAAAGAAGGATCCCTTACCCTGTGAGACAGCATGGAGGGATCTGGAGAGTATTATGCTAAACGAAAAAGTCAGAGAAAGACAAGAATCACATGATCTCACTCATATGTGGAATCTAAAGAACAAAATAAACAGATGAACAAAATAGATCCAGAGACATAGAAGCATGGAACAGACTGACCAATCTCAGAGGGAAGGCAGGGATGGGTGTGGAG